AAGTTGACTGTTTTTATGTATTGTTGGTTCGGCTGATAAGTGTACATGTTAGTTAGTATTGGGTTTTAAGCTGTTAGGTACTGGGCCTTTGTTTTTGGGTCCAAGTCTGTTTAATGTTTTAAGCAGTCTGGGTGTCCCATCACTAATCAGGGGCATTCCAGACATTTCATGTAACACTGTATTGTAATCTACTATAAATAATAGTACTGTCGACCGGGTTACTCTATTCGACATTCTCAGCACTTGTTTGCCTTCAGCTCTCTTCTACTACTTCAACTATAACCTTTCAGCAAACAATTATAATTGTAAAATATACATTATTAAAGTAAAATATTCATTTTGTGTGTTTATATACTAATTTCTTTTTATTATTTTCTTATTTGTTAGGGTTTTAATCAACACAAACATTGGTAACTGCTGTATTGAACCCTCAAAGCATAGTTGTCAAGGCGATGCCTAGGCCTAGGCGACTAGGCGGTTTTACAGTGTCACCTCGCCCAAACGCCTATAGTTTTGTATACTAGGCGATTAGGTGGGCGCCTAAATCCAGCTTCAGTGCTCTTTTTTTTTCGAAAAAATAGGGGCTTCTTCTCTTCCAGCCCAGCTTCAGTTCTTTTTTTCTTCAAAAAAACAGGGCTCCGCCCCTATACTTCTCCTCCAGCTCAGATTCAATGCTTTTTTTTTGAAAAAACAGGGGCTCTGCCCCTATTCTCCTCCCTCCTTCTCCTCCCTTCCTAGTTCCTGGCTTCCCGCACTTATTATTTTTAACAGCCGAACCTACTCCCTTCCTAGTTCCTAAACTTATAAAATAGTTTAGGTCAGATTCCATTGCCTAGGCAACTAGGCGTCGCCTAGGCACCTGGGCGCCCATGGTCGCCTAGCCTCGCCAAGTCGCCTTGACAACTATGCATCAAAGACTTGAAAACTTGAACCAATAAGAAAGGATGAACTTAAAATTTTGTCTAATCAACACATTTTCTTCTTCCACCTTTTCTTTTCTTCTTTTCCTATAACAAAAATAGGGGTTCAGCCCCTATATTTTTTGAATTTTCTTATCTTATTTTTCTTCTCATGAATATGTTGATTTTCTATACTTTAAGATGGACTTTATACTTTTCTCATGAAAATTATGGATAATTATTAAGGAAATAGGGTTATGGAACCTAGGGAACTACCCTAGGATATGTCTTTTGCTTAAAAAGGTCCATCACCTAGGTGATGTCTAGGCACCTGCCTAGGTGATTATGCAACAAGGTGCCCCCCTGTCGCCTAGGCACCTTGAAAACTATGCTTATTCCATTAGGTTTTTCTCATTCTTTATGAACTTGTCAAAATAGTTTGAAACCAATATTTTCAGTTTTTTGTTATTTGAACGGTATATTTATATTGTTTACCCAGATTTTAAACCACTGCTCATCATGTTCAATGCAGTGATACATTCAATGAGAACTCTCCACCTACAGATGACCCAACATATATCTCATTGCTAGGAGCTGCTGTTTACAAGGCAATGGCCCAGGGTGATAAGGATGCTGTGTGGCTAATGCAGGTATTTTTCTTAGCAAGGGGTGGGGAGGGAGCAAATCTTTTGGGCACAATTGTAAGGAAATTTTTATCATTGTATGGGGAGATAAAAGCTTTTTATCTCTCCCACTGATGCTTGTAACATGTACTTTTTTAATTTTCATTAATAAAATGCTCAGTTATTGATAACATAATTCAGGTATTTTTCTTACTTATTTCCATATGCATGCAACTATCATTAGTAGTTCTTCATATCTTGCATATAGTCCCATAAATTGTGAATTTCATTGGAATCTTGTGAACTTGTACCTAACATACTTCTTCTGTATCTACTCCTCCATGTCTTCCATAAGTAACAAGGATTTTGCTAATGGTCAAAAGTAGATATACAGCAAGAGCTCCCAAACCTAGATTCACAATGGTGGAAGTGGCCAAAGCATAGTAAAATTAAGCCAAACAAAGTACATTGGCAATGATCTAAACTACAGGACGACCATGAAGAATTAAAATCAGAAACAAAAGTTTGGCTCCCAGGCACCAATTATCCCTTGTGTCCAGGTCCCCACATTAACTCTCCCTGACCTATAACTTCCCTGGCTTAGCTGTCCACAAGTGAACTGGTTGGTATTTGAATTTATCTGAAACAGCTATTGGCCTTAAGTTTTAATGGTCTTATCTTCTAAATTTGGTGTCTCCATTGCCAATCGCCCTTTGCATAGTTACCTATCCACCCAATGACAACCTATGTATTATGTATGCTTGACATTTTTTATACTTTGATAAGATGAATCACAGTTGTTCTTTTACATAGCTGCATGGCCAGGATCCTGAATATTATAAATCTTACCATTCTGAACTTTTTACAATATGAGTAAAAGTTTAGCTGATGATTTACAATTAATAGTTTGCTGATGTGCAGGGTTGGCTATTCTCGTCAGAGTCCACTTTCTGGAGACCACCACAGATGAGAGTAAGCAGTTACCAAAAGAAATAAAATACCTTTACCAGATTTTTTTCTCATGTTTGGACATTTGTTACTTGAACAATTGAACAAACCCTTCCCTCTCCCTCAACAGCCTCAAAGAAAATGTATAGAAGAGAGAGAGACACAACCCTGAGTCAAATTATCTAGATTAACTCATATTACTTCACATGCGTATTATTTTATTTAAAGGGCCATGTGAATCTGAGGCTCAATCTGGAGTTCTGGGGAAGCAGCAATGGTTGACTTAATGTAACATATGAAAATAGAATATACAAACTGTAATTACAATATGTACATTACTGCTTATTAATACAAGTTTAGTGTTTGCCTCTTGTAATAGAGGCATCTATAAAGGCATGCACCTTGTATAAAGCATACAATTTTTATGATCCTTATATATGAAGCATGAACCTCAATGGTTTCCACTTCAATTTTACTTTTTGTTATAGGGGGGGGGGTAACCATTTTATTGTGCTCCCCTTCACATAATATAATTAATTAAAGGGGAAAATCAAATGAAGAAAATGTACCTTAATGTGGTCCAGCCTTCCCAAGACCCCAAATAGCTAGGACCAACATCGGATAATGGCCTTTTAACCAATAGATGCTTCTTGAAAGGATCCTGAATTCTCTTTTCTTGCTCATCCTAAGGTGTGGCACTAGACAGAATGGAATGGGGAAACAGAATTCATGTAGCCAACCCCATATAGTTGGGTTAAATCTTAGATGATGATGAAGACACATCTTGAAGGAAACTATTATTATTATTATTATTATTATTATTATTATTATTATTATTATTGTTATTGACAAAGCTTTCTGTAATAACTTGTTAGCTTAGGGGTATTTCTGTCTTTATACCTTGATTAAGGTTGCTGATCTGTAATGTTGTGTTGGAACATGTGCTCTTAACTTAAGTAAGGGCACATAGGTCTTTTCAGTCATGTTTTAATAATAATATAAATACTTACTGGCCGACTGGGAGAAGTCAAGTTGACTCTTTCAGTTCGAACCAAAATTCTCTCCTCTCTTTCTCTCTCTCTCTCTCTCTCTCTCTTTATCACCTTTCTTCTTCTACATAACTGAACTCAGTCAGGCCGAACTCTAAGGCAGACCTGAATTCTATCATAACTAATACTGACAATACATTTTCTTGATACAAGGAGGTTAGAAAGGAAAAGATAGTCTTGAGATGTCAGTCAAAACCCTAAATGAAACTTAAAGGAAAAAAGGTCAACCATCTCAATAACCATACCGGAATTAGACCAAATATTGCATTCAAAAGAGGATCTTTCATGTCTTTGAACTTTGGATGAACCATTATCTATTCAAAACGAAGATAACGATTATCAGCAAAGTGCCTCCTATTTTCCTGTTCTTTTCCTTCAAGTCTTTCTATTTTTCTCTCAAAATACTCCAAAATGAATGGTATTCTACGAAGTTTGGTCTTCATGCTACCAGAAAAGATGGCCAAGTAGAGAATACTTATTTGAATTAACAGGTCTGAAACTCAGTTTTCTAAAGAGAGAGAAAAGGATGAAATGAAGTCAACAACCCTCCATATGATGAGCAAATTTCTGACATCTTAATTCTAGTGTACATGAAATGAAGACTGATCAATTGAAATCATGTACTTTTCAAGCAATCGATAATCTATATAACATTAAGAGAAAGGAACCATGTCAATGCTTCCACCCTTGTTTTCATGTCTTCATTGGTTTGAAATTGTATTGCAGGACTAATTCCTAACTATAGTGTTTATTTTTTGGCTTTTCACCAAGTAGAAAAGAAAAACAATGATCTGATTTGATTACAGTGAGAAAGAAGAGAGGTAGAGAGAGTTTTTGGTGAGAAGAGAAGAAGAGATGGGAAGAAGCCAATAATGATCTGGCCACCCCTCATTGTCTTATATACTCATTAAAAAAGATTGATTACAATGACTAATATGCCCTTAATAGGGCGGCTACTGCTAACAACATAAAAATAATCCCAAAAAGTAATAAAAAAGCAACACAAACTAATGGGCCTGGGCCCAACAACACTAACTAATGACCCAATGACACTAACTACTGATTATGTACAAGAAAAACATAAAAAACTACTGAGTTTCAACAGCCCCCCTCAAGTTGGCAGTAGATGTCACACATTCCCAACTTGCATAGATCATGCTCAAGCTTATTTCTTGCAAATCCTTTTGTGAGAACATCAGCTAGCTATAAGTCAGATGCAACATATGATAAACACACTTCTCCAAATGTCACCCTTTCTCTTATGAAATGTCTATTCACCTCTATATGCTTTGTTCTATCATACTGAACTGGGTTATGAGCAATGTTAATTGCTGCTTGATTATCACATTACAACATCATAGGTTCTTTTGTATCAACTCTAACCTTTCCTAATAAGGGCCAAACCTACAAAAGCTTTGAAACATCATGTGCCATAGCTCTATATTCAGCATCTACACTTGACCTGGCTACAAATGATTGCTTTTACTCTCCCATAAAATTAGGTTACCTCCGACAAGAGTGCATACTCTTGATATGTAGATCTCTTGTCATCTAGGCACCTTGCCCAATCGGCATCTATGTAAGATTCTAGCTTCAGGTGTCCATGGTCAGCAAACAAAGTTCCTCTGCTTGAATGTCCTTTTAGATAGGCAAGTATCCTATTAATGGCTTTCTAGTGTTGAACTCATGGGGCATGCATGTACTGACTCACCACACTAACTGCATAGGAGATATTTGGCTGAGTTATGCACAAGTATACCAATCAACCCACCAATCTTTGATACCTCCCAACATCCTTTACTGGCTCACCATCTGTAGCATTAATTTTGTGATTCGGGTGAATGGGTGTATCAACTGGTTTAACCCCAAGCTTTCTTGTCTCCTATAGTAGGTCCAACACATACTTCCATTGGGAAATGAAGATCCCATGTTTAGACCTTGCCACCTCAATGCCTAGAAAATACTTCAGCTCCCCAAGATCCTTAATCTCAAACTCTCGGTGTAAGTTTTTCTTCAATGCATTAATCTCACTTAAGTCATTTCTTGTGGCTACAATGTCATCCACATATACTATCAACACTAACACCAATGATCCCCTTCTCTTCACAAAAAAGTATGATTATATTGGGTTTGAGTATAACTAACTTAATCAATGCACTCCTAAACTTGTCAACCACCTTTGGTTGATTGTTTCAAACCATATAATGACTTCTTCAATTTGCATACTTTTCCTTTGGCTATATCACTATAAAAACCAGTTGTAAGGTCCATGTACACCTCTTCTTGGAAATCTCCATTAAGAAAAGCATTCTTCACATCAAGTTGGAAGAGGGCCAAGTGTAAGCAACTGCTAGAGATAGGAGGATCCAAGCTGAACTCATCTTTGCTACCAGTGTAAAAGTCTCCAAGCAATCCATCAACCCTATACTTCACATTATAAACCCATCTGCAATTGTCTCCTTTTTATTAGGTAGATCCATAATTTTCCATTTTTGGTTTTTAATCAAGGCTTTCATTTCTTCTTGCATAGTTGTCTTCCACTCAGGTTTGGAGAGAGCCTCACTAACGGTCTTGGGTATTGACACAGAGCCAAGAGAAGAAAGGAAGGCTCGATAGGAGGGAGATAACCCACTGTAGGAAAGATGATGTGAGATACAACGGGTTGTGCACTTTCTCTTCCCCTTCCCAAGTGCAATAGGAAGGTCTAGGTCATTTGCAATGGTGTTAGGAACATGTGTGATAGTATCAATAGGAACTAAAACATTAGATGGAACAGAAGGCATACTTGGGTCTATGTTAGCCAAATTTGGAATCTTAGATAAACTAATGGGAAGTGATGTAGGTTCCTCTGTTGTGGAATCAACCTCCCTGTGCCGTCATAGGCGCTGTCATGTAAAGAACCGAGAAGCAAGGCATGATGGAGCAGACAAAGTAGGTGGAATAGGTGGGTTAGACACTGGAGTAAGCAAAGGAGCTGGAATAGGAAGTGGTGTGGAATGCTCATTTCCTCCCCCAAAACACTCCCCCTAAGAAAGACTCCCTGAAAAGAAAGGTGTGGAATCAAAGAAAGTGACATCCATTGTGACTGCTGACTCCCTGACACTGGATCATAACAACAATACCCCTTTTGATTTCTTGTATACCCGAGGAATAACACTTCTTTGCTTTAGTGTTCAGTTTCGAGCAGTGAGGACCAAGGATATGAACAAAGCATACACATCCAAACACCTTCAATGGAACATGAAACATCTCCCCCTCAGGAAAATGAAGACTGAATGGAGTAATGTATCCAAGAACACAAGAGGGTACCCAATTAATCAAGAAGACTGTTGTGAGAACTGCACCGCCCCAAAACTGAAGTGGAAATGTGGAGCTCACCATCATACTTCTTGCCACTTCCACAATATGTCTATTCTTCCTTTTTGCTACACCATTCTGTTGTGGAGTATATGTGCAACTGCTTTGATAGACTACTCCATGCTCTAATAGATATGATGCTAGTTTTTTCTTAAAGTATTCCCTAGCATTATCTGATTTGAATATCTTTACTTATTTTGAAAAAGTTAAAGTAAATTTTATTAATGAGAATAATAGTCATACAAAGAGGGAAGAACCATAAACCAGATCCCCCTCAGGAAAAGATCAGAGATCCCATAGACTAACTGAATTAAGCATCAGAAACATATTCTGATTATAGAAATCAGGTAGGACAGATAACCAGGATGCTAATCTAGCCACAATACATTGGATCAACTCCTTAGGGATCTTCGTCTCTTGTTTAACAATTCTGTCATTTCTCTCTGACCATATAGTGTTGATTATTGTTGCTGGGATAGATCTCCAAATGTATTTGCCCTTCTTCGATAAGCCCTGGAAGTGCCAGCTTTGTAACAGATCCTCTACTGTGCTTGGTATTACACAACAAACACCCACAGCAGAGAGGAAATGGGACCATATTCTCCAAGAAAGGTTGCAATGAATGCAGAGATGGTCCATGGATTCCTCATTCAGACCACAAATTCCACAACTTAGGTCCTCTAAACTGAATCCCCTCTTAGCTTGGTTGTTTCGTGTTAGGCATTTTCCTAGTGCTGAGGCCCAGACCAAGAAATTGATGTTATATGGGGATGAAGGGATCCATGTTTGCTTACATGGGAAGTCTGCATTCCTACCGCTAGTTAGACTGTTTCTACTGTTGCTACAGTAGTCCGAACCAGTAAGGAGAAGAAGAAAGAGAAGGAGAAGAAGAAGAAGAAGATGAAAGAACTGTCGAACCTGATAGCTAAACCCTATCAGTCGACCTCTTAATAGTGATTAGGCTCTAATTAAGTATGGGACAGAGAACCTCTAATAAGACTGCCACATAAGCTCATAACTTAACCAAGGTGAGTTGACTAATCTACCCTTATTTGGCTAACTCTAACATAGACCATCAACAAAAGATCTAACCGAGAAATTCCCATCAGCTATCCAGGTCCAGGTCTATTGGTCTCTTGACTAGGGGTGAAAGGAGAAACTATTTAGGCTGCTCAGCAGGTTCACAACTTCAACTACTTCCCAGTCTTGAAAATCTCTTTGGAATTTGGGTTTCCACACCACTTCACCTTGAACTAACTTGAAAGAGTCAGCAACAATTGCCTCTTTATCCTCAACCATTGAGAACAAAAGGGGAAATCTCTCTTCCAAAGATACATCGTTTAGCCATTTGTCCTTCCAAAAATGAACTCTACCTCCATCACTTAACTAGAATCCCACTCCTTTTAGGAACATAAGAAGTGTTTTCATGATGGCTTTCCATAGAGAGCATCTGTAAGAGGGAAGCGTAACAACAGTCATCCATCTCCCCGATTGAAGCCCATACTTGGATGCGATGAGCTTCCTCCACTAGCATTTTTCTTCCACTCCAAATCTCCATATCCACTTGTACTCCAAACTGTGTTAGCACCATCTGATGGAACTGTTGTACCAAAGGAGGTACCTCATCCTAAGATCTCATCAAGTGCACCAGAGAATACCATGAATGGTCATCCACAAATAGAAGAAAATAATGGTAGCCACCCATAGAAGGAACATGATATGGTCCCAAAACATTAGTATGAATAATGTCAAAAACTAAAGAACATCTTTTATTGCTTATCTTAAATGAATCTCTACAATGTCTTTCTAGTTGACAACCATCACACTCCAAACTAGAAAACTTAATTGACTCAAATAGTTTTGGAAACAGAAAACACAAAGACCCAAAAGATAAATGCTCTAACCGATTATGCCAAAGCATAATCTAACCTATTGACTTTGACTCATTACTCCTGCTACTAACATGATGGCTTTGATGACTGGAATGACCATTGAGAAGGTAGACTCCATTCACCTGACGACCACTTCCAATCGTCCTCTTTGACTCCAGATCTTGCAAAACATAATGAATAGGAGAAAACGTTATTGGACAATTTAAATTTTTGTCAAACTGCTCATAGACAAAGGGTTAGTACTCAATCTAGGAACATGGAGTACAAAAGGCAGGGTAATGGTATCGATTATTTTGATAAACCCCTTTCCAGCAATGGGAACATGGGATTTATCATCCGTGGAGGCTCTATCTCTACCAGAGTAGAGGTGGTATGAGGATAAGATGGTGGAAACATTGGTCATATATTTTGAGGTTCCTGAGTTTATAATCCAAGGAGGTCCCTCTTTACTTGTAGTGGAGGCATAATTTGTAGTGGCATATGAACTACCTATGTGTGAAAATGAAGTAGAATGACTAGTTCCTGGGTCACTTGCACCTTGCTGTCCACCCTGTGAAGAGTTGGAATTAGCTATATCCCTTTGACTCAAAAACTACCCATATCTCTCCAATTCGACCCTAACTGCAGTTGTTGCAATTGAGTCTAAGGAAGATGTAGTAGGTGGTTCAGATAACCACTAGTCACTACCATATTATCATTCCCTTTCTTGTTTTTGAGCCGACTTGGCATGAGGTGTGAGTGAAACTTCCAACAGGTAACTTCGGTATGCTTAGGCTTCTTGCAGTAGTCACATATCAAGTCCTTCTTGTCCTCCTTCCTAACATCACTACCACCCTTATCCTCACCTAGCTTAGGCTTCATTGTATTGACCATAGTTGACTGCTAGAGGTTTAAGTTTCTCATCATCACATTCCTCCTACTCTCTTCTCCCGACACAAAGGCATATGCTTGAGAGAGGGTTACACTATCATGGGAGAGAACTAAAACTTGTTGTCGTGCTATGTCATACTCTAGGTTAAGTCTTGCTAGAAATGCAAACACTTTATTCTTCTCTACCAGCTTTTGATATGTGGCTGCATCTTTACTACTATCCCAAACTATAGTCTCTAAATGATCTATCTCTTTCCATAAGTTTTTGAGGGCTGAAAAATAGACAACAGATTTATCTCCCTACCCAGTAGCAATAACTTGATTCCTCAATTGGTAGGCCTTAGCAACATTTTCACTCTGTGAGTAAGTCTCTACAACTTCATCCTAGATCTCCTTAGCCTATAAGAATTCTTATTTATATGGGGTAACATAGAATTGCACAACCAGGTCATCACCATGTAATTCTCCTATACCCATTAGGGAGAATTAGTCTCAAGTTTCTTCTCTTCACTGGTGACATACCCCGGTTTTCCCCGAGCACCAATAGCCATTTTTACTGATTGGGACCATTCTAAGTAGTTTATACCATCTGGCTTAACTGTAGTTATGGTTCCTACCCCAAAAGGGTTACTAGAACCTACTCCACCTAGTTCCATTTCACTAGTGGACTTGTATTCAACTCCACTGACCTCCATAATTCCTAAAATAGCTTTTGAAATCAACTGTAGATGAAGAAAAATAGATTTAACTCCTTTAGAGGCTTCAACCACCCTTCTAGTATCCAGAAACCTTTTCCCACCAAGATTCCTTTCTCCCTAGGAGCAGGTAGAAAGAGGAGAAAAGGCTGTCGCTCCCTCCAGGAACCTCAGAAAATTCCGTAGTTTGAACTGCCTCTTCAAAAATCACCAAGAGATCCAAAAAATCCACAATGCCCCTTCCTAGGTCAAAATTGAAGAGTCCTACTGAAATTAGGACTCTTCCTCCTCTAGTTCTTCTTGATTTTGATGATCAACCCAAGATCTGACACAAAGGGTTCTAGATCCACCAAAAAAATCCAAGAACTGGGCACTTTTGAAGTCTTCGATCAGCTCTCTAACTCACCATGCAGTCGGCTGATCTAGGGCTGCATGATGTAATACTCAAAAAATCTCTAAAAACTGCTCTGATACAAAGTAGAAAAGAAAAAGCAATGATATGGTTTGATTACAGTGAGAAAGAAGAGGAAGAGAGAATTTTTAGTGAGAAGAGAAGAAGAGATAGGGAGAAGCCAATAATGATTTGGCAACCTCTCTCATTGTCTTATATACTCATTAAAAAATATTGATTACAATGACTAATATGCCTTTAATAGGGTGGCTACTGCTAACAACTTAAAAATAGTCCCAAAAAGTAATCAAAAAGCAACACAAACTAATGGGCGTTGGGCCCAACAACACTAACATAAAAAACTACCGAGTTTCAACACACTGAAGATATTTGTAATCATACAACTAGACATTGTTGGATGATTTTCTATAATACTATTTCCTTGTTATTTAATTTATTGTGGTCTCAACAGGCACTTCTACATTCTGTTCCATTTGGAAAGATGATAGTGCTCGATCTATTTGCTGATGTGAAACCTATATGGAGAAGATCTTCGCAATTTTATGACACCCCTTACATCTGGTAATTGAAACAATTTTCATGAAAACTTAGTATATCCTTCAAATTGTCTTTCTAATTCCTTCACTACTTGTCAAAAACTAACAATTGAATACCTGTTTTCATAATTTCAATATCTACTGTTTCAATCACCATGTTGTCAAAAGCTAACAGTTCAATGCATCCATCACTGAGCAGAATTGTTAACCTACTTTCTTCATCTTTACATGTGTTTCAGGTGTATGTTGCATAACTTTGGTGGAAATATTGAGATGTATGGCCTACTAGATGTGGTTTCATCTGGTCCTATTGATGCTCGTGTCAGCCAAAACTCAACTACGGTATGTTAGGAAGAATTTTTCTTATGGACAAGAAAATATCTTGGGCATGCATATCAGAAGATTGACATGCTTGGGGGAAGGCCATTTTAATGTCTCTTCTTTTTTCTGGTAGGATGCTAATGCCTCTTCTAAAATGGAGGTAATGGACAGGCACAGAGTTCTAGTTGAAGTAGGTAATAAGAAAGAGGAACTGGAAGTATCAGGAAGGAATAAGAGAGAAGAGGAAGGATGACAGCAAAGGGTCAGTGTTGTTTTGGGTATTAAGTTAGACTTAGACATGAGAATGGTAGGTTCACTACTACTAAGGAGGCAATGTACCTGTTAGGGTTGGTAAAGTAGGAACTGAAAAATGTGCTTTATCTTTTTTATTAATATGTTTGTGTGTGCCCAAATAATATTTCAATAGATAGGGTATCTTTTTCTTCTTTTTCTTTGGGCTGACAAGTGTTAGAATGTGGGTTTTACTCTGAGAGCAGTCGCTTTTTGTGCAAAACAAAAAAAGGACACCCCTCCCAAGACCCCGGATTGCTTGGACCAACATTGAGTAATGACCCTTATTATTATAATTATAATTATAATTATGTTGAAGATTAATTAGTTTTGTGATGTTTTTCTGAGTAGATGTTTTATGTTAGTTGTTAGATAGGAGGTGGGGACCACAGTAGTTATGTGAGTCCAAATTTTATTATGTTATCTGAGTAGATGTTTTATGTTAGTTGTTAGATAGGAGGTGGGGACCACAGTAGTTATGTGAGTCCAAATTTTATTATGTTTTTGTGTTATATATGCTGTTTTATGTTTTTCCGCCCTATAAGGGCATAGTTGTCTTTGTACTATTCTATTA